TCTTGGATTGGCACAGATTCTGGAGAAATTCTATTACCATCTTATTATCTGATACCTCCAATATTAATTTAGAAAGTTGTTGCAAAGAATGTTCTGTTTTCTTAGCGTTGGCTTTTAGTTCCATGCTTAGTATCCTACCCCAAGTTGCAAGATCTGCTTCACTTTTTTGAAGATGAATTAAGAAGTCATCTGCGGAGTCTTTCCAAGGGTAGATGGTGCTGATGTTATCACAGTTTATTTCTTTTTATTTATTTATTTAGAAAAATTATATTGCCACCTGCTCGCACATGGCGACTCAAGGTGGCTTACACAGATATAAAAACACTATATCAAAGAAAGAAAAATAAGAAAAATAATAATAACCTACCCACCCCGGTGACAACACACATTCATACCAGCCATTTAATGGGCTCCATCCCGTTTTGGGTTCCCTGGGCCTGCTGGCAGAACCACGTCTTCAGCACCCTCCGAAAGAGTGTTAGAGTGGGGGCCAGTCTAATCTAAGTTAAGCCTGCATGAGAGCAAGAAAGGCAAAGTCCTCTGTGGTTGGGCTGAGGAGAGTTCTGGCAGGAGACAGAAAGGAAGACCAAGTTGGCCTTGAAACCCAAATGTCAGCTGAACTTTCTGCTTGACCCCTTTCAAAGGCATCTCCTGAGGGTTAGAAGAGAAAGCTAGCAAGGAGCAGCCGAAGAAGTTGGGGAGATCTAGTGTGAGTGTCCTCTTATAACCATTCCCATGTTGAAGAGCATATGGGCTGTGGGAATCCATCTCCCTTCTCTGGTTTCTCCTCTTCTTGGGTTGCTAAAGTTCTCATGTCTGTGGAGATTCTCAAGGAAGTCCAGTTGTCTCCTGAAAAAGCACCTCCAGTTCTCATGGGTGAAGGCCTTCTGTCATTGCAACTTCTGCCTTCTGAGTTCCTGTCTCTCTCTGTGTTTTCAGGATGATGACCTGGAGGAGGGAGAGGTGAAAGATCCCAGTGACAGAAAAGTGAGGCCACGTGTTACCTGCCGTTTTTTTGTGAAAGGTACACATTAAAGCCAGTTGTGTTCCTTCCTCCTGAGCGACACCAAGGAACCTCCGTTGACAGCCACTCTTCAGAATCTTGTGGCTTCCATTCCTTGGATGGTTTCTAGCAGTCAGAGGTCGCCTTACACCAAAAATCTCTCCATGTTCCAATGCTTTAAAAAAGCCCAAACGTGGAGCATCAAGATAGTAGCCCTCCTCCAGTAATACTGTCTCAGCATATGGAAATTTAGTTTAGCTATGAGCATTGTACAACTATTTTGATCAACATGAATTTAACGCAATTGCCTCCCTCTGCAGCCATGGTTGGCAATCATTTTTTAAAAAACCTTTGGTGTGGGTTCTCACGCAATTTGTGCTGCAGTTTCAATTTTTGAATATGTTTTATTGTACTCTTTTTTCCGGTTTTTTACTTCATAGTGCAAGCAATGCAAGGAAAACATTTGAAGTGTAAAATATAATTTCTTCTAATAAACCAAACAATGCTCTAGAAGAATCTCCTTCACATAACTTGGTGGTTGAGGAACAGGGCAAGGCAAGAGAGAGGTAGCTTGTGTTGACAGACTTTCTCAAACTGGTGTCCTGTGGTTGGTGTGAAGTTGGTTTTGCTTGGGCCTTTTTTTTTAAACCCTCCTGCTTATTTCTCCATAGGGAACTGTACTTGGGGCACAAACTGCCGATTTATTCATCCTGGTGTGAATGACAAAGGAAACTACTCTCTGATTACCAAGCCAGATCGTTTCTCTTCTAACGGTGCCCCTCCTATTGGCCCTGGTCCTCATCCTCTGATGCCAGCCAATACTTGGGTACAGTATTGTATCAGTGTTTATAGCCTGAATTTGTTTGAGGATGCTATCCCATCCTGTTGCGTGAGAATTTGGGGAAAACAAGCACCCACTGGATGGTTGCTAAATGTATCCTCTACCGTCCCTTGTTTTGCATGGATAACGAGCACAGGACATAACAGGAGGAGAAGGAGATGCAGAGCCAGGTCACCTGGCTACGTGATAAATGTGGCGTGCATTTGGGGTTCTTGTATTAGACCTTGTCGTAGGTCTAATATTAGAAGAGCAGAGATACTTGAAGTCTTGTACAAGCAATGCTGATTGGAGCAGAGAGAAGCCCTGCTCAGTGCTGTTCCTCCAGTGTTTGTGTAGTTTCTCTTCTGGACTAAGAATCCAGTCCATCTGAGCCAAGGTGCAAGTGTTGAAAACACTGTAGTTGCTTACAAAGTAATAAGGTAACCTAGGAGAAAAGTGAGGCCAGTCACCTAGCAGCTGATAGCTTTTCTGGAGTAAAAATGGGCTTTGTGAAAATGAGCATAACTGAAATCTTTCTCCCCTCTTTCTTAACAGGGAGGGCCCGGTGTGGATGAAATCTTCCCGCCCCCACCTCCTGACCCTCCAACTGAAGGTGCCTGGGAACGGGGCCTCCGACATGCGAAGGAGGTAAACTGGTTCTTCTTTGGCTCCTTGTGCAGAACAGGGGAAAGGGCTGAGAAGTGACTCTACAGGTCATCCTCACTTACCGGCCACTCATTAAGTGACTAAAGTTGCAACAGCCCTGAATGAACAGTACTTAAGATCCATCCTCAAAGTTGTTTAAGTCAACTGTTTAAAAAAGCATGTTTATTTCCAGGTGTGTCATGCACCTCTCTAACATAAAGTAGCAAGATTCAGCATTTATGGTTTTAAAAAAGTGCCAGGTGCTCAGCACCCTAATCTGAAACACACACAGAGAGAGAGAGAGAGAGAGAGACACCAATTCTAAAACACAAAGCAGTTTTCCCAGCCAGTGACTTGCAGATGTGCCGGCATTCTGGGTGTTGCACTCAGTAATTCTGGAGTTGGTGCCCCAATACATCTGGAGGCATCAGGCCAAGGAGGACACTGTGCCCATTCTGTCATCCCTTTGGGAAACTGATGCTCCCGCCCACTCCTCCCTCCCGCCAGGTGCTGAAAAAGGCTACCATGAGGAAAGAGCAAGAACCCGATTTCGAAGAAAAACGGTTTACGGTAACGATTGGGGAAGACGAACGTGAATTCGACAAGGAAAACGAATTTTTACGGGACTGGAACTATCGCATCACTTGGGACGTGCGAGATTCCAGGTAGGACCCTGCTGCTGGGGTCTTCTCCTTCGGCGCCATCCTAGGCTGCCTCTTTCTGTGCCATCCTCTCCAGTCCCGTGGCCATCCACCAGAGGGCGCTGTAAGCTTAACGGCTAGCCAGCCTATCCTGTCTTGGCTGCTGCTGTTTGCAGGGCCCAACCCCATGTGTGCGTGCAACCTGGTGCTTTTCTGCATAGCCGTTTATTTATTTATTAAACTTATGAATCTCACTATCCAAAGCGACTCTTTGGATCCCGACAGCAGCACTGCACGTGTGAAGCAGAACGGCTGCATTTCATCAATTGTTGGGTTTTCTGTCTTATTGAAAATCAGCCCCAGGCCTGCCTGCTTCAGGTGCTTTATGTGGAACACGGTGGGTACTACTGGAGCCCACGACTGCTTCCCACGTGCAGGTTTTGCTCTGACTACCCCTTTTAGCACTTGGAGCCTCTTTCAATAGGATGGCTGGGTTTAAGATATGCCCTTCCATTCCAGGCAATGTCTCTGGCAACATTGAGTGGGTTGGTATGTATGGATCATAGATCCTGTTTGATCTGGGGTCTCATCCCAGTCTTTCTGAGCCTCCTTTGCAAAGCCCTCTCTAAGGAGGGTCTAGGAGGATAAAGCCAAGAGAACACTTTTAAGGCTGGGTACGATGGACCAGTGGCCTCATCTTCACATCCTCAGTTGCACTACACAGCTCCAGGAATAGCATTCTTCCTGCTCCTTCTTGTGACACAGTAACAGTATATAAATTCTGCAAAGGTACACCTTTTCTTTCAAGACACAGACAGGTTGACCAAACAGATTTGCAGAGGTCACTCTGGCCATTGATCCTAGTGGGGTTCTCAGTAATTCTAGGGTGACACTTGAGGGGCATGTATGTATGTAGGTTATTCTTGTGAACATGCAGTTCCTCTGGGAAACCTAATTTAACTCTGTGTTTGCAGACCTTATCCTTTGATTTGTAAATTAGGTCTGGGTAACTTATTTGAGGAAGTTTGCTAATTTTAGTTGATTAACAGTTAGAACAATTAACCAATGGAACAACCTGCCTCCAGAAGCGGTGAATGCTCGAACACTGGAAGTTTTTAAGAAGAGACTGGACAGCCCTTTGTCCAAAATGGTGTAGAGTTTCCTGCCTGAGCAGGGGTTGGACTCGATGACCTCCAAGGTCCCTTCCAACTTTATTATTATTATTATTAATATTAATATTAATAATAATAACTTGGTTTCAGCTTGACTGTTCATTATCTAGCAGAGGCACTGATTCTCAGACCATTGTGGATTCTGTTAATATTTTAAGGGGAAGATGGAAACAGTATAAATAATGAAATATATTGGATATAAAACTTCTCACAGTGCCAAAAATGCTAAGTACAATCTCAAGTGGTTTAGTTAATTGGAAATTTTTCCCAGTTTGCATCATTTCATTTCCCTAAGAATTTATTTTTGAAACAATTTTTTGTTTGCTCTGAGATTAACTTGTGACATGTGATTATGGCTAATTGATTCATGAATCTGTTTTTTTTCCCACCGGTTTCCTCAAAACTACCAGTGACACTGACGTCAAAGAGAATGCCAATTATGGGTAAGCAATCCCTGGTTGTTGTGCATTCATAACTGGGCCACCTTACTTTCATTTTGATTCTTCAGAATTCTTAGCTCTGTGTCTGTGATTGCAGAGTTCTTTGTTTTCATCTGGCCCTTCTGTTCTGGCATGCCTGTCTGTTTGGAGGTTGCCATGGGTTGGCAACATCTTGGCAACGTTTACAGCAATAGCAAGACTTCTAAATAATTAAGAACATCTAGAGGAAAATAGATGGCATTTTCTGAAGACATCGCAGAAGGAAGGGTGGGGAGAAGAACAGCAACCCTACCCTTTCCAAAGCCTATTCCAAAATCCTTCCACTTGTCAGGGGCCATTTGTTATTATCATCATGTCATGCAGTCATGATGAGGATGAGAACTTTTTTGTTGAAAGTTATTGCCGTTCTGTGTCGCTATGCTGATTTCAGGATTAATCCAGAAAGGCTTGTTTTCAAGTATTTGCTAAGGCTAAGTGTTGGTATACTAATCAAGTAACTAATCACATGTTGAGCACCCTGCTCTTAATTCCGCTTCGTTTCTCCCAGAGGAGGAGAGGCAGAACTAATAGGATGGATAAAATAATAGAAGAATCTAATCGCACCCTTCTTAGCTTAAGTCTAGCATGGTCTGCCGACCCATTAAAGCCCTCTGTTAACTAGGGCCTCACCTGCCTTAGAGCATCTTCTACTTCTGGCCCCCACTGTTTTTCAAAGATTGGACTCAGGAGGCTGCTGTTGATGTGGTTTGCCTGAATCTGGAATTTTTTTGGGATGTGTGTGGCTCTTTGTGCTTGTCTGATTGCAAAAGGGCATCCCCCGTGAAATGTATTTTTTGCTTTCAGGTGTTGATGGCTAAATATGACCCTTGAGCAAATATTGCTTGATGAGAATTGATGAGAACAATTATGGGACTGAATGCTATTTCACCACTTCCGTTCTTTTCATTGCTCTGCAGACTCGATCCCTACTCTGATCCCTACTATGATTATGAAATAGAACGCTCCTGGCGGGGAGGACAGTATGAGAACTTCAGGGTACAGTACACTGATCCAGACCCCTACCGCAATTACAGACTGAGTAAGGTAAATGCCTGCCCTGGGCTGGGCTCCCTATTTCACGTGGGCCGGGAGCTTCTACTGAAGCGGCTGAAGCTTAACAGCTCATTTGGCCTTAGCGATACAGGCAGTCCTCGACATACGACTACAATACAATTGAGCCCCAAACTCCCGCTGCTAAGTGAGACAGCTATTAAGTGAGTTTTGTCCCATTTTATGACTTTCCTTGCCCTATTTGTTAAGTGAACCACTGCAGTTGTTAAGTTAGTAACACGGTTATTAAATTAATCCGGCCTCCCCGTTGACTTTGCTTGTCAGAAGGTCACAAAAGGGGATTGTGTGACCTGGAGACACGGCAACTCTTATAAATATGAGGCAGTTGCCAATTGCCTGAATTTTGATCACGTGACCCTGGAGTGATGCAACAGTCGTGTGAAAAACAGTCATAAATCACTTTTTCCCAGTGCCCTTGTAACTTTGAACAGTCACTAAGTGAACTGTTGTAAGTCAAGGACTACCTGTAGTCTATCGATTAATTAGTATTTTTTGCTTCTATGTCTCAAATTGCTCCAGGAATTTTGAGAAATGAAAAGTGTGGCTTTTATACCCATACAGATTGGAACAAAGCAGGGAGAGGAGCAACCTGTAATTTTAATTAGTTTAATGGTGGGCCTCTGGGAATAAATATCTAGAGAATGAGGTTGTTAAGTGTTGTTGAGCCAACTGAAGACTTCCCTTGGTGTGACATGATTCAAGACTTGCTCTGGGTCAAAGGTTTGTGACCTGGCTTTTTCTTTCTTTCCTTCCCCAGGAGAGGGAGCGAGAGAGGGATCGGGAGAACCGGCAGAGGGAACGGGAGCGAGAGAGGGAGCGGGAGCGGGAACGAGAAAGGCGGCAGAGAGAGCGGGAGCGTGAAAGGGAACGGGAGCGTGACAAGGAGCGCCAGAGGCGGAAAGAAGAGTGGGAGCGGGAGCGGGAGCGCATCAAGCGAGATGACAAGGAGCGCCCACACCGGGACCGAGATCGGGAGCGGGAGAAAGAGCGGGAGAAGGAGAAAGAGAAGCCAAAGCCGCGATCGCCACAGCCAGTCAGGTATGGATTGCGTTTGATGGGCTAGCGCAGGGGTCTCCAAACTCGGCAACTTGAAGACTTGTGGACTTCAACTCCCAGAATTCTGGCTGGCTGACTGGGGAATTCTGGGAGTTGAAATCCGCCAGTCTTCATGTTGCTAAGTTTGGAGATCTCTGGTCTAGTGGCATGTTCCTCGGTTCCAGGTGGCTCACAGCTCAGAAGAACATCTCCTTAGATCAGCTCTGGGAATGGTTGGGCATGTGCTTGGCAGGGTTAGGATTGGGGTCATCCCCAAAGGCTGGAGAAGCACAAGCCCCTGCTTGGAGAATTTAGAAAGAGTCTGATGCTGCCGCAAATGACAGGAGGATTCTGGGGGTTCACCTGTGTCCTTGTCCTTCTTCCCCAAAAACTCCTCCTCCCCACTCCTTCCCTTCTTTTCAAGCAGTTTGAATAATTTGGGCAGAATGTGGGCTCTTCTTGGTACCGGTGGGGTTAGAACAGGGGTGTCAAACTCAATTTCATTGAGGGCCGCATCAGCATTGTGGTTGCCCTCGCGGGGGTGGTGGCCGGGGGGGGCTACTGGTGGGCACGGATGGAGTGGGCGTGGCCAGCTCTACATCGTTCGCGTCAAGGGTGCCTGGGGGGCCTGGGCAGGAGTGGGACAGATCTGAGGGTCTCTGGCAGAAGGGGGTGGGACCAGGGCAAGTGCCAAAGCATGGTCCACTGGAGGAGCCTCACTGTTCCTCTCAGGCCATGCGGGGGGGGGCTAGATGGTAGGGCGGGCTGCCCGGAGCCCTGGGCAGCAGAGGTCCAACGCCCAGGCTGGCCCTCAAGCACCCGCGGCACCAAGCCCAGCCCCACTTCCCCAAGGAGGTGCCCACTTACCTCCTCCTCAAGGCTGCTGTGCTTGCTCTCCTTAGCCAGGTTGCTCATGATGGGTACGAGGGCAAAGTCAGAGGGAGGCCCATTCCCTCTCCATGGGAGGAGACCCGGCTTTGTATCTAAAGCTTCCTAAGCAATAGGATGGGAGACCCCCAGGATAGGCCAGGAGGAGGGGACAAGGGGATGGTGAAAGGGCAGCAGGGCAGGACCCTCCCTCTCCTTCTTTCCTTCCTAAGTACAGAGTGGTGGGAAAATATTTGAGATGAGGGAGGGAGAAAAACAGGCAAGAAACACAGCTGGGGATGTGTCACCAATGCACCATCGCCTGGAAGTGCCAGCACTTGGCCTCACCTACTTTACATATCTGGCTTGGTGGGCTCTGAGGGAGGGGACACCATGAGCAATGTGGGAATCGACGTTACCTGCGCAATGCCGTTCAGCCCCCAGCCTGCCCAATCTTGGCTGGCAGCGGGGCGCTCTCCTCACAGCACCGAGAGGTTGAGCTGGGAGATGTGAAGCTCGCCAGGTTTGCACCTTGCTCCCTGCTGAAATTGGGCAGGCTGGGGGCTGGGCAGCATTGCACTTCTCATCAGATTCGCGCCACCCAGCTCAGCTCTTGGCGCTGTGAGGAGAGTGCCCCGCTGCCTGCCGAAACCGGGCAGGTTGGGAGCTGGGCGGCCTCACACTTCTTTTTGGATTCGCAACGCCTGGCTCAGCCTCTCGGCGCTGAGGAGAGCAGCCCACTACCTGCCGAAACCAGGCAGGCTGGGGGCTGGGCAGCATCACACTTCTTTTTGGATTTGCGCCGCCTGGCTCAGCCTCTTGGTGCTGTGAGGAGAGTGCCCCGCTGCTTGCCAAAACCCCTCCCCCGGAGCCCATCAAGCCGGATATGTGAAGTAGGTGAGGGCCATTTGCTGGCCACTTCCAGGCGATGGTGCATTTCTTCATTCCTCACAGTGACACCTCCCCAGCATGCACCCAGGGGGCGGGACCGACGTGGCAGGGGCTGGTTCCTCGCTGTTTCCAGACAGCCTTGTGGAGCCTAAGACTGAATTTGTTTCAGCATAGATGGCCACCACAAAATTGTACATTGGCTCCTGGCTGGTCTGGGCCAGGGCCAAGGCAGCAGGTGCTGTTCCCTCACTGTTTCCAGAATGGTTTTGCGGGCCACATGAAACCACTTCATGGGACGCATCCGGCCCCCAGGCCTTGTGTTGACATGTCTGGGTTAGAAGGTTATTGGTTTTTTTTGAGAAAGGCGACATCAACAGATGAGGACGAAGCAGGCCGCAGAGTCGTCCTAGATGCAGGCTTTTATTTCTCTTCTGTGCAGCGTGTTTTCCTCAACGCCAGTTGCCTCTCCAGCTTTGTGTTCCTTGCACTTGGCAGAGCAGCAAGCCAGGCCCGAGGACTGCCAGACCCTCCCCTGGCATTTCTGGCATTCTTGGCTTTGAGTTGCGCCAGCAGCCTCGTTGCCTTGGCTGGGGATTGGTCTAAGCGTGCCAAGAAAGTGCTTCACTCTGAAGTATGAATGTGTGTGAATAATCGGGTGAAGTCATGTTGATGTAAGACTGAAATGTACACAGATTGCTAAAAGTCAGTTTTCCCACACTGCTGGCCTTTCCCCCTTAGAGAGGGAACTGCACACGGCTCCCTCTGAGAGTTACCCCACTGTTAGTTTTCCACAAAGACCCAGATGGGCCTCCGTAATTTGGTTTTGTTTCCTGGTGGGGGAGATGACTTTGGAAAGGATTGGATGAAAAAGATTGGTTTTCGGGGTTCTTGAGGTTGCTGCGTGTTTTTAATGCTTTTTAAATAATTATTACACAACGGTTTCACAATGGTAATGATTTTTTTTCTGTATATACAGTTTTGTTGGATTGCTGTACATTGCCCAGAGGCCGTATACATTTAATGAATTAATTAATATAGTTAAGTTAAAAATAAATACGACCTTCATCTTCCACAAATTGGGTCAAATGCTAGATGCCTTTAATTCTGGAGAACTGTGCTTAAATCCTCTATCAATTTTCTTGGTAGTAAGTTCTATTGAATAGAGCTTGACTTATTTTTGAGTTAAAGGTTCATATGATGATTTCCCGCATTTGTGATTTTTTCCCCCCCAAACAAGAGAAAAGTAACGAGGAAAATGGCTCTTTCCTTTTGCCACGAAAGCAGACCTCCATCAGTTTTATCTGCAAATCTGCCTAACAGGTTGATGTTTGAACAACTGGGAGGTCGATTTTCTTTTTGTTTTTCAGGAATGCTTGTTTTTTTATGCTGTGTTTTAATTAACTACAATCCTTTTACTCAATATATGTTGCTTTATTACCCATAGTCAAAGTCATGTGCTTCTGTGTTTTCCATAAACTGGTGTCTAATTATAGTTCTTTATTTAGTGTTGTAAGAAGAAAACAATCTAGAGAATTGTTTAATGTGTATTCTTTCTATTTAACTAGCCGGCTTCTTCCTTGGAATAGAAGTGACTTCACCTTAATTGAGTTTATTTATAGTCTTCTGTGCTTTCCCTAATCATTAAACCTTGGCTCAGCTCTTGGCAACTTTGTTCTCTTGCGTAGTTTTGGATTGATGCTACCCAGAGGGTCACGTGACTCGATGGAGATTCCAGAATGCCTGTTATGTAAGCCTGCCTCCTCCATTTCTGTCATTGGCCAGGAGTCTAAAAAACTAACAAGAAGAGGACACTTTAGCAAGGACTTTTAAAAGGGGGGGGGGAGCTTTCAAAGCAAGGTGTTGTTAAATCTCTTAGGTTTGTTGCTGCTGCTGTAACTGGAAAGAGCAAAACAGAAGAAGTCGTGTCTTGGGGGGTTGGGAGGGGCTGCCCCAGGTGCTTTGAGGGAGGACCCGGAGTAATAACTTGCTCTGCAGATAGGAAGGCCCGGCCTTAGTTTCCACTAGAAAGAGCTCCGGGTGATAACACTGGAAAAGACTGCAGTTGCAACTCTTGCCAGGCTGTTCCTTGTCAAGGTACAGATAGTCCTTGACTTATGACCGTAGCTGAGCTCAAAATTTCTGTTGCTAAACGAGACAGTTTTGCCCCATTTTACAACCTTTCTCGCCACCGCTGTTAAGCAAATTCCTGCAGTTGTTAAGTTAGGAACACGGTTGTAAAGTGAATCTCCTTGACTTTGCCTATCAGAAGGTCACAAAAGGGGATTACCTGCACTGCAACCATCATAAATACGAGCCAGTTGCCAAGCCTATGGATTTTGACCAGGTGATCACGGGGATCCTGCAAGGGTCGTAAGTGTGAAAAATGGCCATGGGTGGCTTTTTTAGTCCCCGTGTAACTTCAGTCACTAAATGAATGGTTGTAAGTCTACCTGTAGATGGTTTTGGGTTTTGGAAGTGGCAAATTTGGAGGGTCGTGTCCCACGCAGGAGCTCCTCACACTGGACAGGCTCTCTGTGGGCCCTGTTTATTGAGAGTTTCTTTGATTACTTGCAGGGGCGTCCTCAATTCCTCCAGGGCCGGGGTGGGGAACCGTGGCCCTTTTATGACTTGTGGACTTCAACCCCCAGAATTCCTGAGCCGGCCGTGTCCACAAGTCATAAAGGGACATGGTTGTTCCCCACCTCCGCCCCAGGGAGTGGAGGGGACGCATTCCCTCTTCATCCCACCAAGGGCGTAAATTGGGCTGAGAGTTCACAGGTGGTTCAGCCCCGCCCCAGAGGAACTTCCTGTCTTGAGTGGAGATTGGACTCTCCCATTGCTCCATCCTCTGAGCCTCCTCTGACTCCGGGGGCGGGCGCTGGGGCTGGCATGGCTTCTCCATTGTGCAGAGGCCTTGCTTCAAATCCCTTTTCAGGTTTCACCTAAGAAATGGTGGCCTTGGGCTCTCCCGCCCCTGGAGGGTAGCTGGGTGAAGCTCAGGCCCCACGATCCCCTGTAAACCACCCCGGGTGACTTGGCAGAAAGTGGTGATACGTAAGAGGGTTTTCCTCACTGCTCTGTCATTTGTATCTGGTTGTGAAAATCGACGCTGAGGCAAGAATCCGGGCCAGGAAATTCAGATGTTGAGGCTTGGCAGTTTTTGCGGGTGAAGCAGGTGTCCCAGGGTGTGTTTGAGCTCACCGTGATTTCATCTAAATGGACTTAGAAGAATTCTTCCTTTCTCC